AAATTTTATTCTGGCTCATGTATTACAAAAATAGTTTGTATTAACGATCATAAAATGATTGTATGAGATCACTTTTGCCATCAGTTCAACTATATAAATTCTTCACATTCATTTATTAGTTTGATGATCTTTTTCTCTCATCTAACGATAATCCCAAAAATTTGAAAAATTGTTGGCTAATTTTTATTTCTTCACCTTTAATACTTTATTTATTTATTGAAAATCAGCCAAGCAAGGCGTAAACGCCTTGTATTAATAACAACAGTTAAAATAACAAATAATAAAAATTAATGATAAAAATAAAAAATAAAAATAAATTAACAATTTAAAAATGAAATAAAGAGGAAATTACAAAATAATATAATTAGTACAATTCGAAATAACTATAATCGGATGGTAAAAATCAAAATTTCACATTTCCTGCATGAACTTTTTAAATAATATCATAAATGATATTATTTAATCTTTTTTTAAAAATAGCTAGGGATGGCGCACAAGCTATATTATTTCACCTTTAATACTCCGTTCGGTAGTTTATTCCAGTAATTAATATTATGAATAAAGAAATCGTGAGTCCTTAGTTTTACACGTATGTTTTAGTAATTTTATCCCATTAGTTCTTGTTGGATTTAAATTTAACCTAAAATTATAATATTTTGAACGATCTAGTTTAACATAACCATACAAAATCTTATAAGTATAAATTAAATTTTCTTTAATACGACGAACTGACAGAGAATCCAGGTTATATTGTAAGGGTTTTTTTTTGTAATTAAAACTGCAATTAGTCGAGAGGCGTATAAAATATTTTTGGAGTCTTTCAATTATTTTACTTTACGATTTACGATATCTCGGGAAATGTATTATTGTGGTCAAGAAGTGGCCGAACACTTTGTACATTTTGATAAGAAAATCTTCAGTTTTGTTCTTAAACAAACGATAAATAAAATTTAATATTTTTGAGGATTTCTTTACCATGGTTCTGCAATGAAGGTCGAAATCGAGATTTTCATCCATGATTATTCCAAGATCGGAAATGTGTGAGACTCTATCGATTATACTGCCATTAATAATAAGATTAAGAAAATCGAAATTAATAATAAGATTAGGAAAATCCTTTAGAATTGATATGAATAACGCTACATTTTTGAAAGGAAAGGATAATTTGTCTATCATATAGCCAGTTGGCTATTCTTGAGGTCCTCCTGCAGTGGAGATAGGCTATCTGTTCTACCATGAGAATAAATTTTACAATCATCAGCATAAAGATAAATAATAGAATTTAATACCATTAAAATAGAAGGATAGAATTTATTGGTGGTATCATTTATATATAATAGAAAAAACGATGGACCTTGGGGAACACCAGATTTAACAGATAATGTATCAGAGAGAGTGTTATTGAGTGTACGGCTTGGTGAAGATCTATTATGTAATCTGACACCCAGTTATAAACGGCCCCTGTAATGCCATAACTATTAAGAATGATCAATAATTTGCTATGGGAAACAGTATCAAAAGCCAAATCTAGATACACAAATGATACTGTTTTTCCATTGTCAATTGATGAATCCATTGTCAACTGACCAATCAGAAAGATTTGCCAATATTTGTGAAGAAGTAGATTTTTTTGCACAAAAGCCATGCTGATAAGGGGATTAAAATTATTTGCATCAAGATAAGTAACCAATTTGTTATAAATCAACCTTTCGAGTACCTTGCTACCAACGCATGTTAGGCTAACAGGTCTATAATTAGAAGGGTCATAGGTGTTTTCTTTTTATGAATGGAAATTATATAAGATAATTTCCAAATTTTGGGATTAAGGCCAGATTTCATAAATTAAGTCCTTATTAAAAATAGGGGAAGACTCAGTGAAACTGCACACTTTTTATAAATTATTTGTGGAATATTATCGTGGCCAGATGGAATCTATTTAAGGCATCCAGTAGTGTTATTTCAACCTCACCGAGAGAAGTGCAACAAATTCGATTTACGTTAAAACAAGAAGTGTGAGTATTATCCTCAACAATTACACTAGAAAAATATTGATTAAATATATTTGCAATATCAATATCAGAGGTGATCACATTATCATTATGTTGCAGAATTAACTGTTTACGTGGATTTGCAAATTTTCTTTTGATCAGGTCCAGAAAGAATTGCTATTAATATTTAAAAGTTGCTCTTCTTTATTTGAAAAATAATTATGAATGGCACTATGGAAATTTCTTAAACATTCTTTATATACAAGAGAGGTCACTTGGCAATTTGTATATTTTAATTTTTTTATAAAATATAGTATATTTAATACTAATATTTTAATACTTTGCTTATGCTACTACTGTTCTCTATCGCACATTTGTCTTCAATGAGTCGTTTTAATATGATTCATCCAAATTTCCAAATTTTTACCCAAATAGCTATTTCGTTTTGGTCATTCTAATAAGAAGCTTTCAGATTTGTTCCAGAGTTGCCTTTGTTATTCATTTTACTTAATAAATGATGTGATGCTTTTAATTTTATAAATAATCGAGGGTGCTTTTGTTCACAAGTTCACTTTAAATTATACGTTTTAATGACCGTATTTTATTGCATTCTTAAATTTTTTCACAGCGGTACGACTGACATTCGTTTCAAATATGGCTCGAGTGCGAGTCAACATCGTGAATCTCTTGAAACCATAGATCTGCCACAGCCAATGAAATCCGAATCGTCTCTGCTTTCGTTCTGTCTGCCTTTTGAGTTCGTTAAAACTATGAGAAAGATTTCAGGCATACGGTTGGTGTTGGATTTATCCGATGAATCAGGAAAGAAAGGATTCGAGCAAGAGTGGAAAAATCAATAATTGATTTTTCCAAGCGTCCCGAATCCATTCTAGATTATTATAACTGTAATAAGGATGATGGGTATTTTAATTTGCCTGCACATAGTATTCCAATATTGCATTTTGTTCAGCAAGTTGGCCTAAAGATTGTGCTAGGATCATAGACAAGTAAAAATGTTTATCTTATAAAAATCGTATTTCTGAAATTTTCTATAATGGAAAAATGAGCTTATCATATATCTTACTGAAATGATAAGGGAAAGATGAGTGGCCAATATTTAGAACACTTTTTTCGGCTTTACTTTTATTGTTTTAGGAAATTTTTAGACCACACATATTCGATTTTAACAGCAATTTTCTCCTTATTTTCCCTTCGATTTTTTTCTCGATAATTTTCTTGATTGATTAAAATATGCTAACTGGTTCAAAAATTTGAAACAATACGGCGAGATATAGTAATTAGATACAGTAATTTTTTGCATGAAATGATTTATTCTAATAGACCTTAAATATAAACCTTAGATATAATTTTTGGCTCATAGATTTTAAGTAATTTTTCCATCGTTTCTTCTAGCAATGGAATGCCTCTCAATCTAATCCTGAAAGTGACTGAACCCATTTTCACCTTTCAAGCTCGTATATCGCTGAGCCGCTTATGCGTTAAAGATCTCCTTTGATCGTTTCGACCCAGGCTTTGGTGGGTCCTCTAGAGAGTTCAGAGAGCAAATATGGTGGGCGAAAAATATAGCTAAATAAACATTGCTTTATGACGATATGCAGATGGTATTAGGGTGAAGTTGGATGCAAGACACTATCTGACGGGGATGTAGAATATAGCTTAGGCAAGAAGGGTCAAAAGCATTTAGCTTTCTGACATCTTCCACTCTTGTCGGCCAATTTTTGCTACTGCTATCGACACCTCGTCTAGCATCTGTTGCCTATAATTGCTAGTGCAACAACATCAGCGTAAGGCTCTAATGCCATGCTCTAGACTAACCTATATTTCTTAAATATTCAAGCAATGTCTATAACCAAATCAATGGTATAATTGGAAACTTTAAATATTCAGTCGTATATAATACTTAGAAATGCTACTATTTGAACCAAATCTTTTTGCAATAATGATAATACTAATAATAATAAAATAATAATAGTCATATTTGTAACATTATTTATAACGTTAGTAATAATATTATTATTATAATGATAAATATTACCAACAACAATAGTAAAAAAAAATAAAAAATAATAAAATAATATAAATATAAGATAAAAATAATAAAAAATAATAAATAATAATATATGATAATAATAATGATAATAATGATAAATAATAATAAATGACAATAATTAATAATAATAATAACAAATAATAATAAATAATAATAATAAATAGCATTTTTTTAGTTACAAATTCACTTATTCATTCTGTTTTTCACACAAAAAACGTAAAATGTCAACATTTATTCAGAAAAATATAGAAGAAGAATATATATTGTAATAATAACCAGATTGCGAATGACCTTGTATTGGAACTTTCTCACAAAAATACTTCTCACATTTCCAGATAAATGAAAAAACAGCAAAAAGAAAATCGACGATTAAATTAATTTATAAAAAATAACGCAATTCGAATCTTGTGATTGCCTAAGGCTCTACACCTTACTAAATTCGAACCAACAATATTCCCTCACTGTGCAAACGGTTTTTTTCAGATAAAAGCAATTTTTATTTAGAATTATTTAGAATATTTAGAATGAATCGCAGAAGAAATAATAAGATAACTGGCTATTTTCATATTTTATTGATGAGATTTATGATAAATAACTGGTAAGTTCAACCGAATGGCTAATTAGACCTAATTAAATCCGCTAGAGGTCCAGTTAATCATTCTGAAGACTAAAGTTTGAAAATAACAAAGAAACAAATGTGGTTCGATGAAAAAATAGCCCATCTAATAAAAAATAAATATATGCATGATATGATCAGGAACAAATTAGATAGAAATTTGAAAATGTAAATATTATAAATGACTTTTTTTCTCTTCTTAGTTAATATGAAATAACAAGGACGAAGAAGTAAAACCCGCAAACTTATTTTAAAAATGTGCAAATTAAGTTCAGATCGAATGAAACCATAAAAAATCATAAATAGACCAATAGACGATTAAAATTTAATCCGACTCTGAAAATGATCTACACTCAGCAGTGATTCGGCCCTCAAATACCGGTAAAACCATATTATCATCTGATATTACGGTCCATTGATAAAGCGCTGAGCCATCCTCACATTCGCTTTTGAAAAAAAATCTAAAATCACCTAAATAATTACATTAAGGTCTATCTGCAATCAAAAACTTTATCAAAAACTTCATTAAATGGATGCGGATATAGAAGGCTGCAGATCGACAATTAGGTAAAATTTTTTATTAAAACGTCAGATGAAGTAGAACAGTATAGAACAACATTTGTTAATCGAATATGTACTTGTTTAAAAACATTTTTTTAACAAATTTGGTTGGAAAAATTTCTCTACATGAGAATAAACTTAAAATGAAATGAAAATTTGACTGACTTTTTGCTAGTTCGTGAAGGAATTCCAAAGTATCGACGAAAATCCCGATAAGTTATGCCTCTTCCGCTTATCTTTGCTACGAAGGGTGCTTCCGAATTTTCTTCTTGATAAGTAATAATTAGTGGTTTAGATAAGTATAAAGATTCGAGCTCATTTCTGCGCCTAAAATATATAATTTTAAGAGGATTTGCTGCGATATTTTACGATTACCTTTTTATACCAATACAGCGATGTTGGTGGTAGCCTAAATTATTACGTTGAGAGCAAGAGTACGTGCCATTAAAAAACTCAGCTAGTGCTGGTGAGCCTTTCTATCGCTAAACGATTCCTTGGGCAAAAATTTCTAAAACCATACTAACAACCAGCGGAGATAGAAGAACGAGAAATACTTTTATTTTATTACTTTATTTTGTATTATTACTTAAAAAATGTAGAATAAAAAATTTGCGAAAATTTAATATCCATTGTAATAAAATTATTTTTTTTTAAATATTATTTTTTCTTGATCCTGTGCAGCGGGTTTACACCAGCTAGTAATGATGAGTGCTCTTAAAAAAAAACATCGATCACATTCCAGACATATCTAGGTTAGCGTTCCCATTAAAATATAAAAATTCACCAACACAATAACTTTGTTGGATTTGAGCATCGTCCAACTTCCCGAAAAATGTTATGATAACGAGTAATGAAAAAAACTAACGAAATTAGCGTGGAGTTGGAAAGCTGCGATAACGGCGGGTAGCTTGTCCGTCGATCCATACGCATCTCACAGTCTGCAAATCTGCTACTAATCTTTAAAAAAAAGTGAAATAGAAATTGAAATGACTAAATTACCTTGGGAAAGAAATATTGCCTGAGATGCCATATTCCTCGCTTTTTGAAAAAGAGCAGCTCTATTCACTATATTTGCTGATTCAGAACTACAGAAACCTGAACTATCTGATAAATGCTGAACATCATTTCCAGGGCTGAAAAGCATAGCATAAATTTTCTTTATATTTTTCAAAAAAAATCTATTAATGAATATAAAGTCCAGAAATCCAGATGAAAAGCAAACTTATCAGTGCATATTAAAAAACCCTTTTTAGCCTTTAGAGCAAAATCTCGAAAATTATTCTGAAAAGAAATCGGAAATTCTATTTGCCTCGAGATTGGAGTTTCGTTTCGGACTATCTTGGAACAAGTAGAGAGAGTAGAACATCGTTGCAAATTTATACCACCAGGTGGTGGAGCAAATTTATTATGTCCGTATGGATTAGAATTTCGGTTTTCCAAGCTTGGTTGAAATCGGATAGGTGAAGTTGATCCTAGAATGATTCATAAATGATTCACACAACTGGGTTTTCAAATTTTCGACTATACCCGATAATATTTAAATGGCAAAATAATTGATAAAATTATCTATGGGCATCTATGGCATGTATGTTCGTTTATAATGGAGAAAGGAAATTGAAAAAAAATTTAACCAATATATAAGTAAAAGTAAAATCATTTTCTCATTCGCTACGGGTGATGTGGGCTATCTTTAACCTCAGGTGCTCCACCAGAGGTCTCAGAGTTCGAAGGCTGAGTAATAAATATACATGTAGAAGTGAAAAAGATTTCAAATGATTTCTATAGAAAAAAGAAAAAACAGAACCACCAAGACATCCCAAATCCCAAATTTGTCAATTTACGACCAGTAGGCTTAAGGATGAATACTTCTATTCACCCCATTTTATACGCACATTAAAGAAACGATCCCAATTAATCAACGCAGTAAAGCAAGAGATTGCGAGTGTTGCTAAAAGAAAAAATATCAATGAAAGTACCAGATCTATGCTTCTCTTCTCTCGAATTTTTGTCTATAGTTGCACTCAATTTTTTTTCGTATTTGACAACCGAATCATCCGAATCACTTATCAGTGAATCTATTTCATCCTCATGGTCCAACAAAAACACTGAATTTGCTACCGACTTATGCGAAGAACCAAGCCTTAAAAAAGCTAAATATATAGTTTAATAAATTTATTATTTTACAAACAAGTAGTATTTGTAGTTGTAAGCAAATACAAATATACTAAAAATAACGTGACAAATGATTCGGTGGAATCTTTTGATGTTGTCGTAAGTTCCAACAACATATGCTGTAATTTGTCCTTAAGTACTCCTGCAAAACGTTCCCTTTCTTCTGGTCTATCATGTCGATAATCGAAACCATCCATCATAGCTGTTGTTTGCTTAAAATTCAATATCATTGCAATTTTTAATAATATTTGTTCAGTTTAAACTGAACAAATACTATTTTCAGAAATATTCGTTAACTAATTCAGACAGATAAGGAATTAAACAGAAATTAAGAAGTTTAGAACTGTCTTTCGCGATTATTCTATCCCGCCGATATTTTACAATATAAAAATGTTAACCAAATTACGATCGACAGACTTCTTCCTCACTCTTCCATGACATTCGTCGCTAGATGAACTAGTCGCTGAATGGTCTTTATTTGATATTGTTGATGTCAGTCCACTAAAATTTTGCGACACTTTTTGCAGTTTTCTAAAATTGAAACATTCCATTAACAAATATTAATCCACTAAGAATTAAGGCACTTGATCTTATGGTGCATGATCAATTTCGGATCCTACAAAAAATCAGCATAAATGAATATTGAATATAAATTTGAAATTGTCCTATTAAAATATAAAAAATCAAAAATAGAAATTCCGGTATTTATATTATGGAATGAATGCCACTTTCCAGTTATTTGACTCACGGCGACATATGTTTACTGGCGGGAAATAGCAAGGGATGTGAATGGGAACATATGTTATGAATATGCAGTTTTTTAAAGAGTCATTTCTGGTTAAGTTCGTTCTGCTGACTTGTTGGGACTAAGGAAAGAAGCGATCGCCAGCAACAGCCGGAAATGTATTCATTCTTCGTGTTTCGGCAAGGAAAAAGTATGATAAAAAAAGAAAAAGAAAAAATAAAAAGAAAGGACAGGAAACATACGACAATGCTAAGCTCATCTCAAAAACTTCAAATATCATGTAGAGTGATAAGTCAGATAGACTAAAGAAATAACTTTAAGAAAACTCACAATCTGGAATTTTTCCTTACAACTTCATAAGCTAAATTATTGACTGCAGATATTCCTTTATTTGAACTAAAAACGAAATCGCCACATGCTGATGTCGATGGTACAAACTCATTTCTTTTTGCTACGCATTGAAATCGAAGCTAAATTTAAAAATTCAAACGAAGCTATGAAAATAAAGAAGAGATATTAATTCAAGACGACAATTATCCTAAAAGATGCCATTAAGAAGAATATCCACTAAGGATTCAAAAGATTTCTAAATACATAAAAATAAACCTTCTTCGAAAATTTATAAAATCTTAAAATTGTTTTCCTCTCTTTATAAGCTTAATTTTGTTTGTTGTTCACCAACACATGGCTTTTTGCTTGATTTAGTATTTAAATAAATAAGACCTATTTCATCCAGAAGTAATATCTATCTCATCATAAAGAGAAAACAAGGAAGCTTGTTAATTCTTTTTTGAAACAGAGAGAAAGTTGGTTTTTTCAGTGTAACTTTCAGAATGTAAAACAAAATTTTTCGGAAAGAAACCGGATTATTAGGCCTTACAATTTTTTTATAAATAAAGCCGATTAAAAACTAGCATTATCCGATTTTATGTATTCGAATTTTATTTATTTCTTTTATTTTATGATGAATTTTAATTAACATTTATAATTTGAAAAATTTATAATTCATCCTATGAGATAACTTTAGAAATGAACCATTAATGATCTCATGTTTTACGAGGGTTTTAATAAGAACCATTCGCCTAAAATAGCTCATAACTTGTTTTTTCTTCCTATTTTTTATCGGATTTATTCCAGGAATGACAAAAATTCATATCTTTTATTTAATCAAATCCAGAAAAAAGAGAAAAAACCATAGGTTTGTAAGGCAAATTTTTAAAAAAATTTAAGGAAGAGATGTAATTGCAATTTATTTACATATAATATTCTTCTGTTAACAGATCTATTGATTATCTTTCAGAGATTTAATGTTGAAAATACAAGAAAAAAAAAAATTTAGCTGCCGTTACCAACATTTTACTTTGGAAGAAATGATGCTAGATCCTAGCTGAAACAAGAATCGTATGAACTCTTCTTCAAAACCAAACTAATAGGATGTTTCAGATGTTTTTTTTGTGATCTGCATCCGAGATTTTCTTAAATATTATGTTTCTTTAAATTAAGTTCAAAATTTCGCAATTTAAATTTAATGCACTAAAATCCACAAAAATGTCTTCTGCAATACCTGCTTAAAACGTTCTGAATTTATCCATGACGCATGCTGCTTGCGAAGATAATTGAAGACATGTTCAATACATGGGTCGAATAGCGTTACCTTAGGTAAACAATATGCAGGCAAACTACGGATTCGTTCCGACATCATTTTTCTAATATTCTCTGGTATTAATGAGCAGTTACCGCTTCTCAGGCTACAAAAAAATTTTTTGCAGCGTTGTTCAAGAAAATTTACTACATACAAATATATACAAGCATTTGTCACCATCTTCTATTACCACTTATTGTAAACTTCTTCTTTAATTAGGTTCACTGGCCATTAGGATGAGTGGGTTTTTCTAGAGAATCATCTGAAGATAGAAGTACAGGTGGGCATTTAGCGTTCACTAGAAGAAATTTTTGATCAACAAGAAATAGTTTGTGTTAATCACCCATAAAAATATCAGCTCCATTAACCATTCCCCATTAATCATTTTTTCCTTTTTCACCTTCTTCACCTAAAAGCTTGCATCATTATTGCTTGGACTGGTTCATCTGGATACATTAGCTCCTCGGTTTTTATTATATAATCATTTTTCATATTTCTAAGTCCAAAGCGAATGAATTAGAACATTGATCATTTGTAATGATTATATAATAATTTGGAATGATTTATTAGGAAATAAAATTGAGATGATATAAGGGAAAGAAAATGACCACATTATCTTTTTAATATATTATGATATTTGAAAAAAACTACAAAGAAGACCTTATATATCGACGATGAATTCTGCAAGCTATTTCTGCTGATTTTAAGTCTTCTGATTGTACCAAATCTCTATAAACAATAATTTCAAGAAAAAGTGAAAAATAAAAAAACATGAAATAGAAAATTACTAGAATAAAATGGTCGCTTCAAGTTTACTGTTTGGATGAATAGATCTCCAATTCCTAAAAGGAACTTATAATCTGATAAAAAAATCTGATGCTGACCACCGACTTGTACTCGTCGTCAAGTAACTTCCTGACAAAAAATTCTAATCGTACTAACAGCCAGCGGAGCAAGCGGAGTAACCAGAAATAATACAGCTAACCACTTACTTAATACATCAGTGATAAGCACAATATTTATGGTCAAAATCATCAAAAAAAGAGAATTTTAAAAATGCTTATACTTAAATGCTTTGACGGCAAAATAAAAATCGAGTGGATCTTTTGATTGATTTGGTTCGCTTTTTATCCACAATTTAAATTCTTCCAATGCACTGCCATCTATCAATATATTTTCGATATTTTTCGCCCAAAGTACACAGCAGCAATCAGCCATCTTCGTTATTTTTTTCTTCTGAAATGATAAATAACGAATTTTCACATTTTTCAAATAGATCGAAGATAAACGCAAACTAAGAATAATTTGAACCTAAGGAATCGGAAAAAATTTTGAAAGAGAATGGAATGGCTGAGTGGGTTGTTCTCTCATTTCAGAGCATAAGGTGTTTTATTCCAGGCAACTCTTTCAAAGAACCAGGTAATGCTGGCGATTCATCAGTACTTCTGTATTCGCCAAATGGCAAAGTTTGACAAAGTTTGTCTGATCCAATCAACCAACGGAGCATAATAATCAGAAATGGTGAACACCCTTAGAAAAAAAGAAGGAATCGAAAGATGAGCTAGGGATTTCCAACGTCTTTCTTGCATCGACTCCCTAAAAAAATATTCTTTTCAACTGATTCCCTTGGAATACGAAATTTTAAGAAAAGTGGTACAAATAAGTATTTGACTTATTCATCGAGCCCTTTCAAAATCCCATCGATTCCCTAATATTGGAAATTCCTAATTGCAGGGAATGAAAACAACAAAACTATGCAGGAAAAAGCCATGACAATTTATGGACATTTTATTGACCATGGCAAATATTAGGCTGTCTTTTTAAAAATCCATGAAAAGCTGCATATCAGCAAAATCACCATATGACACGAGAATAAAAGCCAAATTTCCAAAAAAACCTAGACAAAACAGTTCAAATCTTCAAATCTGTTATGATTATGGTGCTATGCGCCGTTTTGAAATGACATTAAATGAGATGCCAAATTTGGAAACAAGCAATGTAAAAATTATTCGAAAATGTGGAGATAATATAATGAAATCATTATGCCTTAACTAGATTTCTCGGATTACACCATATGTTCGCGAGATTTAACCGAAGCCTGATAAGTGGAATTAAAAACCTACACTTTACACCTAAAATTATAAAATTTACACAATACTTATATTTATTATCTTCAGGAAGACTCTAATAAATGAGAAATATTTATAAAATGAAGGGAACAGGTCAAGACGAGATGGCTGAAAAGGCACCTAGCTTTCTGGAGAAAGGATCAAGCAGTGGAGCAAATGCGAAAGTGAATACTGTAAGAACGGAATAGTTGGAACCACAGAATCCAACGCAAGAAAATGTGTCTGCCTTGATGGCGAGTAGATAAACAAATATGATATTAAGAATAAGGGTATTATGATTAATTGGATCTAACGGGAAAGTATGATGGCTGTGCCGATATTTGAAGTTACCGCTGCTATTATACCTATCGATGAAATTTGGCATGCTGAGTGGTTCGCTTTTACATGCCTCGCCGCCGTCTTTTCATCAACGGTCTTTTTTTGACCCACTGCAATAACAAATATATTGCTCGAGTGGATGAGTGAATGAATGAATGAATGAATGAATGAATGAATGAACGATTCTTCGCTTGCTAATCGGCAATTTACAAAGGAAATACCACAACTTTTGATCTTTTCCGCTGATCGAATCAATTTTCGTTATTTTATAGCAAAAGAAAATTTCCATCCGGAATGTAATCAACTTTAAAACGAAAATTTGAGTATTTTTAATGAAAAGGAAAACTGCTATGAATGTGATTCTCTTCAGCGAATGGTTTTGCGAATCGAGGAAAATATTTCGTCGAATTTCAGCCGGGAAAATGAAATGAAACGAGTGGTAGTTCAAGATTCAGGATACTATGCTTCGGTTCCTAAATAAGGCCAGTGAATTCAGCCGAATCAGCATTGCAGACTGTTAGCAGAAAATACCTAATTAATTTAAAATTCTTCTCATTGAATACAAAGCAAAATAGAGTGGGTTTTTATAATTTAAAAAACTTGCCACGAAATTTTATGTTTCATATAGCATAGCTTCGATAGCTTTAACATTAATTTCTTCGCTTGAAATCCTAAATTTGTTATTGTTAAACCCAAAGTCTATAAGTCAATTCTCTGGACAGTTTCTCCAAATTAGTCTGCCATTAATTAACCGAATTCCCTTCATCTATCTATTTATTTTCAAATGTTATTTATTGCCAGAATAGATATCAAAACAGATTTGATTTGCTCCCATGAAAGAATGGTGCAATAAAAAGAGAATAAAATGAGTTCAGCGAAGAAAGCAAAGTAACGATTCAAATAAGCGGAACAGATTGAAAGAGCTGACTGACTAGTTTGAAAGCAGACCGCTTTTTGGTGAATGAACCGAAAAAAAGCACCAATGGTCGATAATTTAGAATAGCTTTGTAGCTGTAAAAACGTGTTAAGGTCATACTGTTTATGAATGAATGGGGAATGTTCATCTAATCAATCGCTACCATATAATGGCAAAAAAATAATTATGCATCGAGAATGAAAAATCTTAAAAACCAGAACAGAACTTCAGATTCAAATGGTCGCTTCGAGCCTGAGGGCTAGGGTCCTGACTCCTGCAACAATAAACAAAAAATCCGAGTGGTGAATTTCTAAAAATTTTCCATTGTATTTACAACCAGCGGAAGGTGCTTAAGAAAAGGTAAGTGCTAGCCACTTATTTTCTGGTACACTGAACTGAATTAGTTCTCACATTAAATACACTCACCATTTGGTTGGTTTCGCTATGCAATAATTTGGAGATAGAGAATAAGAAAATATAGAATATAGAATAAGTAAATAGGTAAATATCTTGGACTTTAATGATTCAATAGCTGGAGCCGAATCCTTTTCTTTCAGCACTAACCACTTAGCTCAGCTTTCTTATGACAAGTTAATGACAAGTTCCCTCACGTATTATCACGTATCGAGAACAAAGATCGAGATGGTTTAATCTACGTCAAAACAATAAACCATTAATCAGCTAGTGTATTTTAGAACTGGCAGAAATATTAATATTAATAAAATAAAAAAATTACAAAATACTCAAAAGTTGAAATCATACGTGATAAAACAAGAAAAAAGAATTTTTCTTGGACAATAGCAAAGTAGCGTGATGATCGATGAATATTTATTCAAATTTTATTTATTCAAATTATTAACTTTCTTCATTCACTCATCAGTTTGGTTGGCATCCTTGGCTATTAAAATGAGAGCTTTTTGCCTGAGAGTCATTGGGCGATAAAAAACGTAGGTCACTCCGATTTCGCTTCTAGGGAAGTTTAACTTTCCAAGAAATAGGAATCCAACCCAGATAGCTTGACCTGGCAGCAACATATCGCTCAACCTATTCGTATTATTATATTTAGAAAATAGCAAATAATAAATCACCATATCACATTAGTGTAAATCCAGTAACGACCGTCAATGGTCAAAATTTTCTGCCCATTCGCTAAGCCCTCTGGTCGGCATTTCATCAAAAAAATAATGCTTAAGCTTTAAAAAGATTAAAATTTAATTGCATTTAATGGTCACACAACTTAATTCAAAATATTTCAGCTATCTTCAACTAACTTTTTTCAGCAAAGCAGGCTATAATTTATTTATTTATTGAAAACCAGCAAAGCAGGGCGCAACGCCATGTGCTTGTACAATAACGAAAGTTAAAATAACAAATAATAAGAATTAATGACAAAAAAAATAATAAAATAAAATATAATTAACAATTTAAAGATGAAAAAAAGAGGAAATTACAAAATAATATAATATAGTAAAATTCAAAATAAATAACTATGATCGGATGGTAAAAATCGAGATTTCACACTTCCTGCATGAACTTTTTAAATAATATCATAAATGATATTATCTAATCTTTTTTTAAAAATAGCTAGGGATGGCGCACAAGCTATATTATTTCCGTTCGGTAGTTTATTCCAGTAATATTATGAATAAAGAATCAATTAATATTATGAATAAAGAAATCGTGAGTCCTTAGTTTTACACGTATGTTTTAGTAATTTTATCTCATTAGTTCTTGTTGGATTTAAATTTAACCTAAAATTATAATATTTTGAACGATCTAGTTTAACATAACCATACAAAATCTTATAAGTATAAATTAAATTTTCTTTAATACGACGAACTGACAGAGAATCCAGGTTATATTGTAAGGGTTTTTTTTTGTAATTAAAACTGCAATTAGTCGAGAGGCGTCGTATAAAGTATTTTTGGAGTCTTTTAATTATTTTACTTTACGATTTACAATATCTCGGGAAATAACATGTATTATTGTGGTCAAGAAGTGGCCGAACACTTTGTACATTTTGATAAGAAAATCTTCAGTTTTGTTCTTAAACAAACGAAAAATAAAATTTAATATCTTTGAGGATTTCTTTACCATGGTTCTGCAGTGAAGTCGAAATCGAGAAATCGAGATTCTATAATTTAATCATTAAGACTTGAAGATGTCTATCTTAGATATTATAAAGCTTAATCGGGTGAATTACAATTATATTTTTATGCGCACTAGACAACAACTAATTATCATATTTCATTATTTTATAAGGCCCATATTTTGCAAAAATTAAAATTACGGGAATAATTCCGAATATTCTTTGAACCTATCCATCCTCGAATAGCTCTTTAGCAAAAGGATCTATCCCAGCACAGTAACTCACCACTTTTGATTTATGATAGGAACCGACAGAATAAAGGAACAAAAAAATTTGCATTGGTAGAGATTTTAAATTTGACAGTCTATGTCCATAATTAAGAATATTTTGAAAATTGAAATTTCCTTTACATCATAGGTAGAGAAACATTATTAAAATTAATTCATCTTCATCTCAGTAATAACAACCATTATTACATCACTACTTGGCTGACCGTTAGATTAACACCTTTAGAAAGTGAAAATAGAAGTACAGATGTGGATTATTAACACCAGCCGAATTTCACTTTCAATCATAAGTCTACTGCCTCCAAAGAACAAAAATTGGGTCTTTGATAATTCGATCTTACTCGAAGTAATATGCTATATTTAACCTCTAAAATTAAAAAACCACCTTTATTTGAAAACAAAACATCGTGATTCCGGGATTCATTACCATTATTGTGATATAGACAATAAAAATGATAAGAATGAATGAAAGTGAATAA